GGCCAATATTTGCTTTCCCATTTGCATTTCGCATGCATCAACGCCATCTTTGTCGCCTCGTTAGCAGACGCACGCATTAAGACTTCTTGGCCCTTTGCCGGCACAAGCAGGGGATTACTGTATCATATTCTAAGGGTCATTCTGACCCGGATGCCTTGGGTCTAGCCCGCCCAGCCCCACGCAGGCAACTGGGAGTTCTTTCCTCCCGATTGTCCAGTGCCCTCTGACCCCAGGTCAGCCATCCGGTACATCTTACCCTGTTCTGTAGAAGTCGAAACTGCCGATACCGAGCATGATGACTCCGTGCAGAATCAAAGGTCCCTCCAGTACCTTCAGTATCGACGCGATCCTCAATCAGGCCACCAAACTGCCCAACCTGGACAGGATTTGCCCGACCGGGAGATGCCTTCCAGATGGAGATGGCAGCATTGGCCATGACGCGACACCATCCGATCTCTCTCGTCCAGGACCTCTGCGAGCTGGTTTCGACGACGGCCTAATGCCAAAAGCCATGTCTTTTGATTATGCCTCACGGCCTCTCAGCAAGAAAACCACCAATTGTACCATATCAATGTCCCACTTTTACTCTTTCTCTTCAAACGCCTCTTCGTCAGCCTCCTCCTCGTCGTCTCTATCGCCCTTAGCTCGGCCAATGAGTGAAGCTTCTCTCAATTTGGCCTCCCCACGCGCCCTCCAGCAAGCAGAAACATTCTGTCCTACGGAGATTGGAGTTATGGATAACTTGGCATCTCAGCCGTCGGATGGATGCTCAGAAAATCTGTTTTTAGGTGAGCCCAGTACCCAGCTACTTGCGAGGTCTCAAAGATCCGGATTCTAGTATCTCCTCTTTTATTTTATCTATTATTATATTTTTGTTTATATAAGCGAAAAAATTGAGTAAAAAATTCTCATCTACTTCCCCAGGACAATTGGATGTGTAGTAATAGAAAGTATAGGATGGAAATAGCGAAGGATAATTGTTTATCTTTTATGGCTGTTTTGGTTATCAGGGCATGAGGAATATCTTTAATCAAACTTGAACAGCAAAGTTGGCATTTCAAAATCAAAGATTATTTGGAGCATAAGATTAGACGATAAAGACCACTGGATAATGTTGTTGTGAAAACGAGATCTCAAGGAGACTAAGACTAAACAGAGGCCACAACACAATAGTCTTCATATATATGCTTAAATTATTATTAGAAGATATGAAGACCAGGATGGTGTGGTCTTTTGTATGATCGTGGTCTCCTTTCGTTGCATATAAGTTGTTTAACCTTGTCTTCGCAACTTGGTCCTATTGGCAGGAAGACCTAGAAGAACACACCTTGTCTGGAGTCTGTAGTATGCATGATAATTTCCACAATCGGACCGTGGACTTGGCACATTCCCACACGTTTCGCCGGCATCGTAGTTGACAGCTTCCGTAGGCCTTGTCATTCTTAGCACCACGCCACAACTCGTCAAAGAGTCAAGCGTAGTCGACCTTTTGACCAAATGTGTGCTAAACAGTTGTGGTATCTCTCCTTCTCTCCTGGCCTATTCACCTATCCTATATCCTCGTATCAGCCCTTCAACATCACAATTTCTTACTTGTTTATCTAGACCTATGCGAAGAAAAGTTGGGTTTCGAGGAGTCTCTTGTGTCATAACAACAACATCTAGACCTATTTGAATATCTATTCACACTCCCCGCTGGTTTTCTCATCCTTCCCACCGTGTCGGGAGTGTTGATCCAAGACTGTAGTTTAATCCGCAATCCTCTCCTTCGGTTCCCATCAAGGTCCCCTTTTGCTCCATAGGATACTTGCCTTATCTGCCTGTTTCAATGATTTTACTCCATCGTTGCCACCGTATCTGTGCTACTCAAGACGTTGTTCTACACTCTGCCTCAAGTCTTTTCTACCACGTATACACCAGCCTCACTGAGCAAGCCCCTACAGTCTGGATTCTCATGGCAACCTGACTTGACACTGCAGATTCCTTTAGCGCTGTTCAGCATGTGCGCCGAGTCAATCTCGTTGTCAAGCCTTTACTTCATGGACAACGTCTACGAGCAGACTTATATGCTAATAGCCAACTAGACATGGCCACCACCATTTCTCTCGCTCTTCTATGACTTTCTATTGAGTGCCAATCTCCAACTTGTCTGTTTGACAAGGCTCACTGACGATGCCGGCGAAACGTTTGGCAATGTACTAAATCCGCGGTGCAACTCTGCAAATAATCATGCATTCTATGGACTCCGGACAAGGTGCGCTCCTCAAGCTCTTCCTGCCAATATGACCAAGTTGCGAAAACAAGGTCAAAAAACTTCTTTTAAAGAAGTGGGTTGACCTCGTTGTCGCAACTTGGTCTTGTGTTCAGGGGGACTATGTAGAACGCACCAAGTCCGA